CTGTGGAGATAGCGACCAGTTGCAGAGGAAAGAAAATTGTAATTTGTACAGAGACAGTTGGTAGCCTGCCTGGTTTATAATAAGTTTGTCACACTGCTACACAGTTTTGTGTAATGTATGTGTGATAGCTAATAGGCTGCAGATAGCAACCGGTTAGCACCATCGCTAACAGCAAGCTAACATAGTACAAACACTGGAGCCGTGCGTGACCGGCTGTTAACGTTATGCTTTGAGGGTGACTGTTTTCATCTTCATCTTTCTGAAACGATTGCAAAACATGAGAACAGTGGGAGTCATCTGGACGATGCTGTGAAACGGGGCTCAACATTACTTGGAAGGGTAAACATTCCAACAGGTCTGAAAAACTTCAGTCATCCAGAAATTTGCCCAGAGGGAAAACCGCTGTGCCGGCTTTCTCCTCACGTGAGGCCTCAGCTGTGGTGAGTGAAAGCATCTTTTATCATCCTGACTCTGTGCTGTTCAGTGCATGGGCAAATTGTTATGCTGGATCGGTTGAGACTAGGCTACGGATTACGGTTGTTGTCATTGTTATTAGGCCAATTTGCTCTCTCTCTCTATCACGCCTCTCTCTCTCTCTCTTGCTCTCTCTCATGTTAAGTGTTTTGTGGAGCCATGCTGTTTGTTGACATGTTAAAAAACAAAGTAGCAAGAGAGGGTATTGTAGTTTTACTGGTATCTATGTTTTGGAATGGTTTGTAACAAGAATAACACCAAACCTTGGAAATAGTATGTTAATAAATAATTACACAGCTCTATACAGACACATATCATATATTTCAATTTGAAATGTTAGAAAAATTAAAAGAAAAATATTTATTCTCCAGATTCACTAGCCCACACATAGCCTGTGAAATAGCCTTGCACAGCCAGTGAGACAGGCGCCAACAGGGGAAGCCCCTTGGACTGTTCCCTGTAGTGCATGAACAGGTGCCGCAGCCAGATCGCTGACCCTCTTAGCCGACGTCAGAGCCACGTGCAAGGTGACCTTGACCCAAAAAGGGAATTCAGGTCTGCCATCTCCAAAGGCTCAAAAGCAGCTTTGTTCAGGGCGCCAAATCCCACTGCGGAGGTGCAGGCCGCAATACTGGCCTGCACCTCTGTCAGGAAATGCTTCACCAATGGGTGAATGAATACCGTCCTGTCACCAAACCCTTTGTGACAGGATGAAGTGGCGGCAGCATAGGTCTTAACCGTACTGAACGCCAGACCTCTGTCCACTAGCAGCTGGAGGAACGAAAGCATCCCAGGCAGCGGACAGGCCACCGGGTCCAACCCTGGTCCAAGGTCTCGACCTCTGGATGGTGCACACCACCTCATGGGAGAGACCTAGACCCTCCAAGCGCTGCCTCTCAGAGGCAAGAACCCTAGGGGCTGGCAGAGAAGTGGATAGAAGTGGATCACGCCCCCCCGCCTGGTAGAGGGCACCCCTCCAGGGGAGTTTCCACTGCCGACCCATCAGCAAACACTGAAGGCAGGGAAACTAGGACACACCGGTGCGCTACAGAGCCACCAGGATCACCGACAGGGCTGAGGCCTGTAGGCGGTCCAGGAGGCGCGGGATCAGCCGAGCCAGAGGAAAAGCCTACAGCAGTCAGCGAGTCCACAGGGGGTGTGCGAAGGCGTGAGCCCAGTGGAAACCACAGGGCACAGAGTGTTCTCTCGGTTGGCAAACAGATCCACCTCTGCCATGCTGAACCTGAGCCAGATCTGGGCCACCAGATCAGGGTGAAGGCACCACTTGCCTGGGCGAGGACCCCCCTCAACATGATGTCTGCCCCTCTGGGGCCTCTCAAGGAGGCGTCTGTGAAGAACGCGATATGGGACGTGACCCTGTCCATGGGTACCCCAACTGCCAGAGAGAAAAAAACTTAATAGATTAACAAAATAATGCTTATGTAATGAAGCTTTATCTATCTTTATCTAGCTATGGAGTGTGCAACTAAGCCTGCCTCCAACTGAGGCTAATATCTCCCATGTTTTTAATGTATCAACCCCATTCTTACTTTGGCTAGAAACACCTAATCAGAAGCTACAGTAGCCTGCACGTCAAATTGCCCGTGCTGTTAAATGAAACATCCCTGTGTATCATGCAATTCCACATAGCCACAGTCAGTCAATAAAGTGTAGCTGTAAAAGGCAGCAAAGCACCATTAAAAGAGGAGAAGAAGATGCTGGCTGATGCTGGTTTTAAAACATTTAAACATAAATAAGTTGCAAAAGCACTGTAAATACAAATATGAATATGTCTTTTCATGACAAACACTGTAAACAAAACTTTATTTACTAAATGAGAATGTTTATTTAGGAAAACAACTGAAGTGACAAATGCCCAGAGGTGGGACTCTCACGATCCTGTCCTGAGTTCTCTGTGTGCTGTTAGTTTATAGTTTGCTTGCTACCGTTAGTGTGCGTCCTCTACCTGATGTTATTGTTTATCTGGTTAGTATCTGTTAGCTGGTGTTTAGTGGTGTTTTGGTATATTCCTGATTTCAGTTCTGTTCCTGTCTCATATATTAGTTTATGCCTTAGTGTTTACTTCTGGTCTGTAAACTTCTGTGTTGTTTTGCCCCTGTCTGCTCTGAGTTCTGGTAAATCTTAGCTTCAGTCTGTGTTCCTTGTTGGTGCTAGTTTATTTGCGATCTGTGTGCTTGTGTCTGGGTTAGTTTGTTTATTATTCTGATCTGTTGCGTCTTATTTTGATATGTCTTGTGTTTAGTGTTAAGTGACCTGTGTTATGTCTGTTACCCCAGTAATCCCTCTGCATGCCTGTCTCTCCGTTTTCCGCTGCTGTCTCTCTGCCTCGTTAGTCCTGATCCTGGTCACCTGTGTTGCTCCCACCCTGCTCGTTAGTCCCAGGTGTCCCAAATGTTTGCTGTGTGTCTTCAGTCCTTGGCCCTGTTTCAGAAAGCAGGTTCCACAAACTCTGAGTGTAAACCTGAACTCTGGGTTGAAGAACTCTGAGCTGTCAAGTTGTTTTGTCATTGTAGCGTGTATCCGGTCTGTCTCATGTTGCAGTGTGTTGTCGTGTCTAGCCTGCCTTGCTTGTCGTGTTTCCCTGCTTTCTGGCTTATTTTTCTTCTTGAGTTTTTTTGATGGATCACCTGCTTTGTTTGAACTGTTATTATTTTGGATTACCTGGACTCATTGTAAGTGTGCTCGCTTCGAGCGAGTTCAACATACCCAGGATATCTTTCAGTTCTCTACCTTAACTAACCCTAACAATCGCGGTCGGGATAAGCGGTACCACGAAGCTGGTTTTCAACTCGGTAACTCAACCCAGGGTTTCCCATCCTGCATTTGGGTCCATCAAACTTTCAACCACACATCCTGACAGGGACCAAGTCATTGTTTTACATGTCACAAGTAAGACAGGCAAGTCTGAGTCAAGACCGACAAGTCCAAGTCCTAAACTTTAAGTTCCTTATCCTAAACAAGGCTCTTCACCAAACTTAACAATTTCATATTTTTAACAAGATTAAATAAAAATGTTATTGTACAGTGACATGAGTTGTTCCTGTGCAGACCTCATTGTCTTTTTAAATAATTTAGTGTGCATCATTACACACACACACAGAGAAAACATGGTGATGGGTATTGCAATGGACATTCTCCTCTAATTGTAGCCTTTCCAGGGCACCAAGTATTTGCACCTTAGGATCATACAAAGTCCAGACAAGAGCAATATATTCAGCATGTTCGAAACCCTTTTCCAGGCTGTGCTGCGCCAGCATTGGTCATGTATCTGATCACTAAAATGAAAAGAAACCTGTGCCTGGAGCTTGCACATGTCCAAGATTCACAAAATGCTTTCTTTGATTCCCTTCTATAAGTGGGCCAAAGGACATCTCAATGCCGCCTAAGGATTTATGGCCCTGATGTAAACTAAATTGTATTTGTCTGTATTTAATATGTTTAATAAGAGTTTCCTGCATAAGATTACAGACAGGCACTGAAAAAAGGGGAAAATGGGGGTTGTTCACTTTACAAATAAACAGTTCGCATACATGACACAACTGATTTTGTTCCTTCTCTGAAAATATGTAAATCATGTGGAATTATTCTAATCTTGAGGGATGTTTAATTTTTAAGTCTCAGTCATGCTAAGAGCAAAGGAAGTTATGTTTTGTCTGGAAGCTCCGCCCACTGGGAGCAGCTCTTGGAAAATGTCACCGAGGGCGCCATTTTTTCAATTTGGTCGTTTAATTCATCAGTCTGGACAGCTCTTCACACAGTAAAGATAATACAACTTTGTCATATGTTGGTCAGAAACAGATGTAGTCACGTTAGGTGGATCATTTTGAATGTGTTGAGGTTTTTGAAGAGCTCTCCACGAGGTAAAGGTAATTAAATCTTGTCAAATGTCTGTCTGCATTATAGATATTCCTGTTAGCTCAGTGAAAAAATGCGTCTGAGGTTTTTAAGGACTAAATTAGCAAAAACGAGCAACATCATAGGTTAATGGTAATGCTAAGGTTAGCTAACGTTGTTACTTGCTAGCGTTAGCTATGCTAATGAGGGTGACTTTTATTTTAAGTTTATTAATTCACAATGTGTGCACAGTAGTAATGTGTTAATGTAGTCTTAGTCTGCAGACTTCTGCACAATGAAATTCAGCATGCTCTTAATGTCACACTTATCAGTAACATTAAGCATCATTCTAGAAATGTAATGTTAAAAGTTCAGACTTAACTTTGACCACATTCTTCACAACTTATTCTTAATAAGGTTAGTCCAGGCTAAAGTGTAACTGCAGTTTTTTTATGACAGTGCACATGCTCTGTGCTTATTAATTAGAAAGCAGCACTTGATAAAGTCGGTAAAGTTAATGTTCTGTGTTTTCTAAATTTAGCTTGGTGAAACGTAAACTGCTCATAACATCAGCACTTATTTACAATACATAGATATCCCTCCAACGTCCTCAATATCTTTATCTCCAGTAACTCCATGTAGAGGACATGCATTACTCTGATTAGAGTAATTCTTACTTTATCCTTATTCCTGACCTTAAATGTTTAATAATTCTTTACATTTTCTGTTGGAATTAAAGCTTGGATGTGCTGCCTGAGATTAAAATTAATTTATCTCAAATCAAGTTTATTGATTTAAAATGTTTTATTTTTGTTAAATATTGTGGTGGATAAAGGATGAATGCTGAGTATTATTCACATACCTTTATCATTTTAATTTTAAACTTGGATATGCTGTGTCACAAACAGGATGCTTCACCAGCTAGTAGAAAAAATATGTATATATCTTTTTCTGGATAGGTATTTGGTGTTCCTCCAGTTGAGATCTCCACTTCGTACCTTAGGCCCGTAAATGGTGAGTAATATACAATTGTTTTTATTTGTATTTTAAAATTGTATTTGATTGCAGAGCGCCATAGCGCATTTGCACAGCACATCCTCTTGCTCATCACTCTCTCTCGCTCACCTGTCCCTCTCTTTCTGGCTCCCTCTCCCTCATGAACACAGCTGCACAAATCTGTCCAACACAACGCTGTCAATGTCGGAGACCCAGCTTAAAAAAATAAAAATAAAAAGTTATTAGCTATGTTAATGTTAGAATGACAGTCAACATCGACTGCACGGTCATTCTGTGGGAAACACTTGACATGTTTAAACTAGATTGTCAAGACTTTCAGAAGATCCTGGGTATTTTCTTGCTGCAATGTTAGGTAAAATCTAATGCAGTCTAATACAGTCCAATTCTGCTGAGTCTGCCTGTTTTGTTTTGACATTTATGCAGCATTTTGGTTATGTTTGGTAATGAAGGTACTAAAGAAATCTTGTGTATATGATTAAATTTTTAAGGACTCTCAACTCCATGACTTGTTCTGCTTATTCCTCCCTGATTTAGGATGATGACATTGATGTTCGGCGGGAATGCATACTCAAGGGGCTGTGTGTGTACCTCAGTGAAGACCCGGAAAAATGAGCGAGAGAATACACTGTGAGTATAATTACCTACAATGTGTGTGTATATAAACCTAGAATGGTTTTCATCCTACCTGTCAAATAGGAAGTTTTGGGTGTCTGTAAACAACTAATGTCTCTTCCTTCTGTCCAGTTAAATATGGTGTGCCTCAGGGGTCGATCTTAGGACCCATTTTTTCCCTTGTATCTACTTCCCCTTGAACAAATTATCCATAAACATGGTATTTCTTTGTCATATTTATGCTGATGACACACAAATGTACTTGCCCGTCAGATCCACAGACCCTGGAATAATGAGTACACTTAACGACTGCCTTTGTGAAAAACAAAAATACTGCCATCTGCTGGTTCCCTAGTAAATCACATTAAGCCTGTTGCAAAGAACCTTGGTGTTTGGTTTGATAGTAATTTAAATTTCGAGCAGCACACCACACAGCTTGTTCAATTATGTTTTTATCAACTTAGAAATATAGCAAAAATTCGTTGTTAACTTTTAAGGACACCGAGACCATTTTACACGCCTTCATCTCATCACGCCTGGATTATTGCAACAGCCTTTTCACTTGTTTAACCCAAAAATCTATTGATCGACTCCAGACTGTCCAGAACTCAGCTGCCAGGCTTTTAACCAGAACAAAGAAATATGACCACATTACCCCTATTTTAGCTTCATTACACTGGCTCCCAGTATGTTTTAGAATTGACTTTAAAATTTTATTGATCACTTTTAAAGCTCTTCATGGCCTCTCGCCTTGTTATATTTCTGAACTTTTAGTCCCGTATGCACCAGCACGTACCTTGAGATCCTCGGGCAGAGGTCTGTTGTCTGTTCCAGAGTCTCGACTGAAAACTAAAGGGGACAGAGCGTTTGCTGTCAGGGCCCCGAGGCTCTGGAACAGCCTGCCTGAGGAAATCAGGTCGGCTGAGTCAGTAAACTCTTTTAAGTACCTTCTTAAAACATACTTTTATAGGAGAGCCTTTCCCGATCTTATTTGACATTATTTTATCCCTTTTTATTTTATTCTATTTTACTTATTTTCTATTCATCTTAAACGCGTATTTTGGTCTTTTCAATGTTTTCTTGATTGTATTGTTGTCTTTTGGGTATTGTTGTCTTTGCACTTGTTGAAGCACTTTGTAACTTGTTTTTGAAAAGTGCTCTACAAATAAAGATTATTATTATAATTATTAGGGTTCAGTACTTTTGAGATTGACGTCACCTCTACAGTACCATTAATGTCACCATTGATCTCCTTACAGTGCTGTGTCATCATCCTTATTTTAGCCACTTTCACAGTTAATTTGTACATACTGTTGATTAGTATTTACTGTTTGTTTTTGTAAGCAGTGTTTTCATCAATCTGATCACCTTAGTATTTTCAGAAAGCAAGCTAGCTTAGCTATTCAGCAAGCCTGTTGGCTACTAAAATGAAGAAAAGCAGATGGCTTATGAGGAGTGCTGTCAGCTGTATGGAGTTTTGCTCAGTCTGAGTGTAAGTTCTCACTCAAACTGATGCTTTTCCACACAAAATGAACAGTAAACACTGTTAAGTATGTGCAAAGCTAACAGTGAAAAGTGGCTAAATGAGTATAAAACAGCATTGTAAGGAGATCGGCAGTGAAGTTAACAGTACTGTAGTAGAGCTGACAGGAAATCGTCTGACGTGCGGTTCATGAAACAGTGGACGTCACACTGCATTGTGAAAGTACGCTCTTGACTGTGGAGCGTGTGTGAGTCAGTGAGTTGTCAGGAAAGAAATAAAAAACTGATTAGCTTCAGTTCAAAATTGAGCCTTTGTTGACAAAAAGGCACTATGTGAGGCCATGGAGAGGGGTGGGGACTCTTAATGGTAAATATTTTTGAAAATCCATACTGATTTTCCATTATATCATTCATACTTTTGCCAGGATGAATGCTGTAAGTGATCATGATTGTCACTGATTGAGTGATTATCTGAATAATCTGAAATTAGGTTTGAATTACTTGATGAATCATCCAGCCGTAAAAGCAATAGATCACAACTGTGTTTCTCTGCAAAATGTTAAAATGTGTCACCAAATATACCCAAGTAAAGTCTGAGAAATCTTAGACTAACTGATAATGACAGAATTGTTAGTTGCTGACCTCTTGATATTCCATTTAATAGACACAGTATAATTCAAATTCATAAACGTTCACTGACCCCACGTGTAGTTACATAAAATACATTGACCTTTTTATACAAAACATTAGAGTATTGCTTTGGTACTGGCTACATTTCCTAATGCCAAGCTGTTTACATGTCAAAGTTCATGAATGCTATGCTATATTGTGCAACTGTATTTTTAGGGAAAATCTTAAATGGGTAAAAATGATTAAAAAAACCCCAACAACACAGGACTTGAGTAACTGGAGACTCTTACTATATAAAAAAAAAACCTCCAAACAAGAGCAAAACATTTTTTATCATAAACTTATTATAGCAATCTGTTTACTTCACACAAGACCTGGTACCCTTTTGCTGCTAAGGTAAATAGAGGCCCGGGCCACAATTTGAAGAATTAGTTATCAGTTCACGCAGATACTTAGTATGATGGTTTCTGTGCATAATAGGCTTAAGGTTTTATTTTTTATTTCCTCTCATATGGCTTCTTTTGTGACTGTGCATTCTGCAGGCAGAAGACAAAGGCCTGAACCAAGGAGCCATTGGGGAGACCATGGTGGGATTACGTGAGATGCCACTGATGGACCAGAGGACATTGGGATTTTCCTAGAAGGCCAGGTGGTTCTGCATGATCTGGACAACGTTGCCTTAGCTGCTGCCATGTTGTTTGGACTAATGTATGCCTTGAACCTCAACTACCCTCCTGAACTTAAGTACTCTTAATTCTATTACTCTTTAATTCCAGAACCCTTGCAGTTAAAGGAGCACAATAACTTTCCAAGCACTGGATTTACATTTACCAGAGTGTAATGATTTCATTACATTTGTCTTTTTTGTTGTTAAGAGGTTGTAAATGTAGTGGATGTATTTTGCACTTTTTTGCATAATTTCTGCATTAATCTGGCTGTAGTATAATTCCCTATTGATGCTGGTTTGATGTCATTCAGAAGGTTTTTAATGACCTACAGTGTTGCCTCAGGTTGTAGCAGAATGTTTACAATGCATTCTTGATAACTTGGCTACCAAGTGGAAAAAGGTGATTTGTTTTAATGTGAGAATGGTTTGTATATGTATGCCTTTATTTGTGTATAAATTGCATTGAACCAATTGAAGTATTGGTAGTAACTTTTTTGACAATACAGTTTCAAAAGAAATGTTTTTGTGTATGCCTTATTTGTTCTGAAAATGTTACAGGAGTAAAACTGTAGGTAAGATTAAAGAGACATCAGCGTACAGAAAAATTTTAGCATGTAGAATTTATGTGGAATCTATATGAGACTAACTTTAGTAGGTTAGGTTGATTTAACATAACAACAATGCATATACTTTACATAAAAATCTCATGTTGCTTTAATAAGTGATAACTGAATACACTAAACATTAAAGGGAAACGTTAAATTAACACAAACAAATGATGTTTGGTATTGACAGAATAATTTTGTGTATTTAACATTAACAAATAACTTTGAACATAATCAAATCATGTTGGTTTTACATATAAGAATTCAGTATATTAAACTGAAATGAATCATTTTGACTAAAAATAAATATGTGCAACTGATGTACATATTTTTATGTAAGTTCAACAGACTTTTTTTCAGTGCAGGCATTCATATTTATGGGCACAAAACATGGAGGGAAGGAATAGAAATGTATAGCAATAGCTGCTAACCTGACTTATTAGCAAATGTCCACTCCTTCACAACAATAATATACTGTGTATGATAAATAAGTTTGTAGTTTAACATTATATACTGTAACTATGGTTATTATCTGACCAACAGCTAACCAACATTTCCACCTCTTGCTCAAATTTACCCTCACCTGTCTCATTTTTAGTCCCTGTTTATATTTTTTTCTGAATACTATTTCTTTTTCTGTCCCTTTTCCTCTGATTCTGTGATCGAGGATATGTATTTTTCAAAAATGGATGTCAGCGAGAGGGACGTCTGGATTTAATACAGATTCATTATTTTGATTGATGCTGCAAGAATCTGCCACTCACTGCGGATATAAGAAGATTCAGCTACATGCTTTATGGTTTATAAAAACCTCAAAGGAAGCTTTAAGTCCCTTTATAGATCTCCCTGGTGCTTTCTCATGTCTTTCAACTTGATCCTGACAAATGGACCAGAATAGTTTTCCCTGCAAATAAAGTTACTGGGAAGGCTTTCTGGAATACTTTATTCCTTTTTCTTTTTTTGGCTGTGTTGCACTCCAAGGCATGATCGATAGGGTCAATATTGCAATGGGGTTATATTTGGGTCTTTAATCTCCCATATGGAGAAGCGTGAATGGAAAATCAGATTAACGTAGACAGAGCTAAGGTTAGTATTGTCGAAAGATTAGCAACGATTTGTGTTTGGGTAAATATATTGCTCTATGTTGTAATCGTGCTGTCATTGGAACAGACACAGGGTAGCAAAACGAAAAAAAAGCAATCAGAATTAGGATTGAATTTGTCAGCTTTGTTTTCTTGAACATGGTTTACTTTCATAAATCCTAACAGTTTTGCCTGTGGTAGTACTTTATATGCAGAGAATTTAATAACAACATAACGTATTTGCTTTGGTAAGACTCTAAGCAATACTGTTCTATTCCAAAAACAATTCAGAATTAATGAAATGGTTTATTGTGGGTATCATGCATATTGTTCTGGGGCAGAATGAAAGAGTGAGAGTAGTTTTTCACTTGGGAACCATAATAGCGTAACCCTTAGGGCTGACAGTGAATCATAACACTTCCTGAATTACATATCATCAGCAGGATATTCCAGACACCTGAAAAAGGAAGGGATCTCAGAAAGAGCCCCCTACAGAAAATCGTTTCTCATTTGCCATTTTTCTCCAGCTGTTCAACTTGCTAGTACAAATTCAGGAGGAGAGTGCATGGGGGCTGATTAGAAGCACATATGATAATTTATCCTTCAGCTGGAAACATTACTATCTTCTTCCTGGGGAAAAATGGACTTACCCATTCAATTACCAACGGCACTTTTTATAAGACTGGTAAACTGCAGAACGGTCCTCCCAACATATGTGCCATTTCTGTAGGTGTTGACTTAAATGATGAACCGATAACCTAAATATAACATGAAAACATTTGTCAAAATCAAATTAATGTTGATTGGTCAGGACCAACTCCTACATAATTACAATATCGATTTCACCTGTAAAATCTAAAAACTGCAATTCATTCATTAGCAATGTCTCAAATGACCATGTGTATTGTGAAAGGGGTCACTCGAAGTGATGAACCCACAGAGACTTTTCACCCAACTCTGCAGGGTTTTTTTGTGATTTTCAAGTCATTGTTACTGGCATAAACGATATTGAATTTTTTGAGGCGGATGCCAATATCAACATCAGATGAAAAACAAAATCCCACAGTATACAGTAATGGTCATTTTTAATATAAACATAAAATAGTAACAATTTTGATGAGGATGCCTGTGGTAAGTGGTTATTTTACAGGCACATTTTACAGTTAAAAATAAACTTGTCAGTGCTCTCTGGTGGACATACTACACTGAACAAAATCTTAAATGCAACACTTTTATTTTTACCCCCATTCATTATGAGCTGAACTCAAAGATCTAAGACTTTCTCTATGTACACAAAAGGCCTGTTTCTCTCAAATATTGTTCACAAATCTGTTAAAATCTGTGTTAGTGAGCACTTCTCCTTTGCCGAGATAATCCATTCACCTCACAGGTGTGGCATATCAAGATGCTGATCAGACAGCATGGATATTGCACAGGTGTGCCTCAGGCTGGCCACAACAAAAGGCCACTTGAAAATGTGCAGTTTCACTGTCTACGGGTTAACATATTAACTTTAAAATGCAATTATATGTCCAAGGTGTTTGTGATGTTTAGCTTGTTGTGAATTTCTGTCCCCAAGTGGCTTAAAAAACTCCTTGGTAGTGCTTTAATAAAGTAAACACCAGTTTCATTATCACATGAATTTATACAGCACCAACTGTTTTTACTACAAGATGTTTCACTCTTTTCTAGTCTTTCACCCGTGTTTGAAGGCTTTACTAACCCCTGCCTTCAATGGCGCCGCCACTGGGGTGCCCCCCCCCCCGGCAAGAAGTATATACATAAAATACAATATACTATTTATATTATGTAACTGCTAGGTTTGAGTTAAAAGGTGAATAGCAGCATACAAGTGTTCTCATAATAGGCTCTGTCACATTAGGAGGGAAACCTCTGACCCTGAGGTGTGACCGACTGTGTTGTTTATTTTAGGAGAGGCCTCTGATTCGTCCATGTAGATAGCAATCACATTTCTAAAATTGTGAGTGGTTAAGGGGCGGGACTAACAGGCAGAGCAGAGCGGATTAGACCGGTGTTGTGCCGAATGTGTGTTTTCTGTGGAGGCAGCAACAAGCTGCAGAAGAAAGAAAAGTCTAATTTAATTAATGTACAGAGACAGTTAGTAGACTGGCTAGTTTATAATTTGTCACACTGCTACACAGTTTTGTGTATTGTGTGAGAACTAATAGTCTGCAGATAGCAACAGGTTAGCACCATCGCTAAGAGCAAGCTAACGTGGTACAAACACTCGAGCCCTGACAGCGCCGTGTGTGACTGGCTGTTAACGTTATGCTTCGAGGGAGACCGTCGTGTGCCTGTTTTCATCTTCTTTCTGAGAGGATTGCAAAACATGAGTACAGCAGGAGTCATCTGGATGATGCTGTGAAACTGGGCTCACCATTACTTGCGCCCACAGGCGCCCCAGTGAGCAGCACAACAAACACTGCGGGTTACAACGAGTCTGCAGACTGTCTTCAGAGTCATCCAGAAGTTTGCCCAGTGTAAAAACTGCCGGGCCGCCTCTGGCCTCACGTGAGGCCTTAACTCTGGTGAGTGAAAGTTCTTTTATCATCCTGACTCTGCTGCTGGTCCCTGCATGGGCAAATTGTTGTACTGGATCGGTTGAGACCAGGGGCCTGTAGCAAGTTCAACATACCCAGGATATGTTTTCGTTATCTGGCTTAACTAACCCTAACAATCGTGATCGGGATAAGCGGTACCACAAAGCTGGTTATCAACTCATAAGTCAACCCAGAGTTTCCCAATTCAGCCATGAGCACGTTCACATAAAAGAGGCGGTGTTAGCAGCAGATGACCAATCACAGACACTGTCAGCAGAGCGTCATATTTTATGAACGAGGATTAAACTGTAACACTACAGAAATAGGTAATTAAAGCGTAAAGTAATCAAAGCATATATGTGTTTGTGTTTAAAAAATGAAGAAATATACAAATAAAATAAGATAAATAAATAAAACAGTAATCGTGTGGTGTGTGTGTGTGGTGTGTGTGTGGTGTGTGTGTGTTAAAAAATAAAAAATAAAATAAAACCGTAAGCGTGTGTGTCAAAAAATATATATTAAAAAAAAATAGAAAGAAAAATATAATAGAATAAAAATTAAAACAGTAAGCGTGTGTTAAAAAATAAAAATATATTAAAATTAAAAAATAAATAAAACAGTAAACGTGTGTGTGTGTGTAAAAAATCTCTTTCTCTCTCTCTGTTAATGTTTTGTGGAGCCATGCAGTTTGTTGACATGTTAAAAAATACAGAAGCAAGAGAGAGTATTGTAGTTTTACTGGTATTTATGTTTTGAAATGTTTGGTGCCCCACCATTTTTACATTTTACACTGGTCAAATCGGTTGTTGTGGGATATTTCAAGAATAACTATCGTAGTTGTTTGTAACAAGAATAACACCAAACTTAGTATGTTAACAAATAATTACACAACTCTATACAGACACATGTCGTATATTTCAATTTTGAATTTAAAGAAAATTATTTATGCTACATGATTTCTGTCATCTTGAGTAGGCTTGTTCCCAGTAAATGTTTTGTTCCTCCCCATCAATGCACTCCTACAAATAAAAGCTGTATTTGTCTTTTTTAGGGAAAAGGTTATCTTGCCTATTTAAAGAACAATTAATTGCCTAACACATACAGATAACACATCAAACAGGATTTTTATGGAATGTTAACTGAACTGGTTTTAGTCTATGGACATTAGACAATTTTAACTGTAAAATAAGAAACCAAAGTAATTCAGTCTGTGATTCCTTAAC